AGAGTTGTCGAGGACTGGAGAATTTCGGGGCGTAGTCCACTTGTCGCCCACCTTGACGTTTACGACAATCACGAATATTCAAGAAAATATCCAAGGGCCCAGGTCCACAAACAGGAATCAAGACACTCATGAGCGTTGATCTTAGTGACCCTAAAATACAATCCGCATACACGTCTATCGTCCGTAAAGAACCAACCAATTGGCAAGTGTAGTCATATCGATGCAGAAGCCACCTGATCGCTTTACTGATCACGACCACTATTTAGGCTCATACTTTCCTATGCGCAGGTGTGTGCCACCTTCACTGTTTGACGCTTCGGTATGATATCCCTGAACCCAGACTCAATAGACAAGAGATACGCTCACGCTATTTTCGAGTGGGACTGGAGGGATAGAAGAACTACAGAGAAACCTTTCTGAAGATGACGCGTATTTCGCGTTTGTTCGCGAAGACAAAGGGTTCTGTCTCATCAACTTCTTCCCTGCGGGTATCCCAGGAGTTCGGAGAGGTGCGACAATTCCTCATGCTTACGAAAATCACTGCTCAATCGACTCTTAAGCTCGTGCTCTTGTTCATGCTCGAGCAGTTACTAGCTTGTTCAAAGCCGCTAATGTCACCATTACGGTATCTAGTGCACAGCAAGTGGAAATATCTGCAATTAGGGCCAAACTTGGTCTAGAAAGACTTCCTCTCTGGGAAAAAGCCCCTCGAGCTGCTAATGGTTTGCAGCCAGTCCGCAACAACCCTGAGACAGTATCCGAGGCGCCGACAGCCAGCTCTCAGTATTCGGCGCCAGCCACGAACTCGCGTATTCCAAGACCTGGTGGATCAGTTCTGAGTCGTGCGACGGAAGATACCCCTCCTTCTACTCCTGCGAAATCGTCACCTTTACTCTTAAAGAGAGTTTCAGGTCAAGAGCGGCGAGATGCACCGCTTCCACCGCCTCCATCAACTGGTGAAGACGCAGAAGACTACGAGATAGTAAACGTTCCTACCCCTGTGCACGAGAATCCTCGATCCAGAGCACGAGGTGTATCTGTCGCCACTTCGTTTAGCGATAACCAATCAACCTACTCAGATGAGACGCAACACAACACTCGGTCGCGTGTTTTCAGCGAGAAATCGTGGGCTCGTCAGCAATCTCAGATATCTGAACTGGATTATGAAACATATGACACAGCATCCCCTGTGCCTTTATTCCGGACAGAGGCACAGGAAGAGGCAGCGCGATCACGTGCGAAATGGGCCGAAGAAGAAGGCATCGAATACTCTGAATACCCTAGGAAAGCGCGTCGAGGTCGAACTAAATCGGACATACAACGTGAACGTGAACAAGAGGAAATAGAAATGGCACGGGCTGCCGCAGAAGTA